TTTTAACCTAATTTTTTTTTTTGGGGAGGAGGAGGAGGAGGAGGAGGAGGAGGAGGAGGGGAACTGAGAAAGAAAGGGATATTTTGTCATTAATGAGTAAATTTTTTTTTTGTGATTATTGGTATTCGTTTAAAAACAAAAAGAACAAATAAAAGAATAATCGACGTAGTTTTGTGCAACAGGTGAAAGAGAAAATCTATAATTTTGACTTGATGAATATTGAGAGAGAGAGAGAGAGAGAGAGAGGGGTGGGAGGGAATCGTTACGTAATAATTATTACAACTATGATTAACGGTTTTCTTCTTTTTTTTTTTTTTAATTAAAATAACGTTTATTTAAAAACCGAAAAAAATTCGATAAATTTTTTTTTACAATGTTTACGTTGATAGAAATGAAAAGAAAAAGAAAAACGTTTCTTTTTAATTTTCCTTTTGGAAAATAAACAAAAAAAAAAAAAAAAGAAAAACTATAAAATTTGTTTAGATTTCCAAAGGAAAAATAAATAAATTGAAGTCTTTTAAAAAATCGTTTCTGATTGGTTGTTGTTATGGTTTACTCAAAACCATTATAAAGTTAAACGTTTCTTAAGGACTTGTAAATTAATTTCATAAATTTTTTTTTTTAATTTTTTATTTTATTTTCTATAATAAGATATTATTGTTCGTATTAATTTATTTATGTACATAAATATTTCTCGTGCATTTTAATGATTTTACGATATTAATTAACGACGATTAAAATATTTTAATACAGATTAAAGTTCTTAAATCTTTTGTTAAAAGCAAATTTTTTAGACAAAAAAGTCGTTAATAGTCAAAATTTGGAAAATGATTAAATTATATAAAAGGAAGAGTTTAGTCGAAGAGGAGGGAGAGAGAGACAGAGGGAGAGGGGAAAAGATAATAATTTTTATTACTAAACATTACAAATGATTATTTTCTATAGGGTAATTAAAATCGATAAATCATGGGAGGAGGTGGGGGGGGGTGGAAAAAGAAAAAAATTTTCTTTTAATATTTTCATTTTAACTCGTGGGTTAAATTTTACAAAATTATTTATGGAATTTAAAAAAAAATTTATATATAGATGCGTTTTTTTTTTTTTTTGGGGGGGGGAGCGGGAAGAATAAGAGAAAACGTGGGATGTTGCTTATTCAACATCACTTTTAACTCATTTTAATCATGCCTCGTGTTTTGTAATAAAAATGTGGGGGCCTACGTAAGATCTAAGGCCTCCTTTTGAAAATTTAAAAAGCCGCATGCGTTTACAGTTTGAGTTTATATTTAAAACCGAATTCGCATCTTTATTAATAAATAATAATGATGATGATATTAAATAATAATCAAACCCATTATTATTATTGTTATTTCGACAAAAATGTTTTAGTTGAAAATGAAAAGATGCTTTCAACCACAACAACAAAAAAAAAAGAAAATTTTTTTTTGGGGAGGATGAAACTGATATTAAATTATCATATTAAATTACGGTTGAGTTTTTTTTTTTTCTAAAGTTTATTTCTGGAAAATTTTTTTTACCATTATACTCGTCAAAAGTTTTAATTTTTTTATACCGTTAAAAAAATAAATAATAATAATAATAATGGTAGTTAAAAAAAAAAAAAAAAAGAATTTCAAATAGAGGCGAAGCGAAGTTTTTTTTTTCTTTCAAATTCCGAAGTGTGACATTTTAATAATACAAAAGGGAAAAAACATAAACTTATTATTATTATTATTAATACATGATTTGAATTATTAATAATTATTTAAGAGAGTTTGTAATTTTAATAAAATGTAAACAATAATACAATACCTTATTCTCCGGATGAGTACCTTTCGATTATTATTAAACGTAAGTTATCGTTAACGATTTTGTTTTTATTTTTTTTGTGTTGTGTTGTTTCCTTAATTAGCATTCTAACAACAATCACTCCGAAGATCACTTGCGACGACGATCATAATTTTACGGGTAACATTTATATAACAATAATTAGTTCTTTGGGTCACGTTGTCAGACTCTAACTGTTCCCGACTTAATTTACTTTCTTTTTTTTTATATGTATGTTTTATTGTTGCCATGGAATCGAAAAAAAAAAAAAAAACCTTTTGTTGCCGCCCATGGGGTGTCATTATTTTGTGTAAATTGTGAGCATGCGTGCCTCTTTCTTTTTCTTCTAGAAAGAAAAAACACGCGGTCACCGCCTGACATTTGTTTTTTTTTTTTTTTTTTTTTAAATCAACGTTAAATAATAATAATAGGACGTAACCCTAATTATGTAAATTTAATTTTTTTTGTACTTAACAAAAAAAAACCAACAACAAACAACAAAAAGTGTAGGAGGAAAATTGTGGTGGTAAAAAAAAAAAAAAAATTCTAAAACATTTTTCCTATTTGGAAAACTAATTTTCTTTTACGAATTAGAAAACTAATTAAAATTAGTATCGGTGACCCCAAATTTTTTTGTTTTCTTGTTTTTTTTTTTAATGGGTCGTGATAAAAAAATAAAGAAAAAAAAATTTAACAATCAATTAAATTTTTATTTAAATCGAAATTATTATCATTATTATTATTTTTTATTATTATTATTTTGTTTTGAATATTTATTTTTATAAATAATAATCAATTATTTATATATTAATCGTGCATATAATAAAACAAATAATATTATTTACAATAAATTATTATTATTTCGATTATATAAACATTATTGTTAACAAATAATCGATCGATCGATCGATAGATCGATTATTAATCGAAGAAACAAAAAAATCGAACAATTTGGAATTAACAATTTTATTTTAGAAAAATATTTCGCAAGGTAGTAAACAAAAAACAAACGAAAAAAAAAAAATAATAATAATTTTTTAACAATATTTAAACAGCTTATTCAATTAATTAAATAACTTTATTAAAATTTTTTAAAAATTGAGTTAATAGATTTGTGTGCCTAATAATAATAATAATAATAATTAATATAAGCGTAATTAATTAATTAATTATTAATAATAATAATAATAAAAATGTGCAGTGATTAAAAATTTAATTAATTTTTTTTTTAAAGTGTGCAATCAATATCTATTTTTTTTTTTTTTTTTTTTTTTATACTAATTGAAAGAGAAGAGAAAATTCTATGTCGAATTAAATTTTACCGTTATAGAAAAAAGAATATTAATAATAATAATAATAATAATAGTATTTGTATTTATTAATAAGAGCTGATTATTGCCGAATTGAAGGAAAGAAATAATAGAATTATTTAATTTTTTTCTTTTTTATACTACTTCGTAAATTTAAAAGTAAATTTATTATATTATTATTATTATTAAAGCTGTTTTTTCCTTTTTTTTCATTAAATTATGTATTTATTTATCTGTACACAACACATGCGAGTGTGTGTGTGTGTTTCTTTTTATTTTCTTTTTATTCTTCAAACGAAGCATTTATTCGAAAAGGCCACGAAAATTAATTATATCGCATACGTTTATTTACACGTTTACATGTTTAACGCATAATAATTTTTTATAATATATACAAGGCGCTGACTGGTTGTGCATTTTTGAATTGCCATAAGCGATTCAAAACGACTTTACTACATTATAGCACCACTAGTTCAACTCGATATATATATGTATATGTATATATATATTTTTTTTTTTCATTGCAAATAAATCATTAAAAACAAAAAAAAAAAAGAAGAAAATTCGTCACGACACCTACGTAAATAAAAATTATTAATTAGCATACGTATAATTTTCAAAGCGAAAAAAAAAAAAAAACAATCGAATTAACGAAGTTTTTCTTTTTTTTTTTATTATTTTTTTTAAACGAAATTATTATTATTATTATTGTTTGAGATTTGCGGAAAATTCTTTACCTCGTTTTAAAATCTATTTAAAATTGCTTATGTTAAAAAAAAGAAATTTTTTTTTTTTTTTTAAAGTGAACATTATTTATTTAAACGTGAAAGTAAATATTTTATTTTTGTACTTCTAAATTTTTCTTTCCTTCAAAAAAATTTCAAAAATCGGAAGTAAAAACTATTATCATTATTATTATTATTAGTATTAGTATTAGTAGTACGCTATTAACATTAATTATATATTTTAATAGTATTTAATAATAATTTATTAAATGGGGCGGAAGAAAAAAAGAAAATTTTCCTACCCGAAATTTTTGTCGTGGTAGTGAATGTGATGTGTGTGACATTGTGTTTGTTTGTTTGTTTGTGTACATTTTGCGGGTATGAACAAACGAAAGAAAAGGAAAATTGGTTTTTAAACAAACATTTTTCTTGATTTTTTGACCAATCGAAAGTGACGTCTCCGTCCTATTTCGTCTACCTTTGTTTTTTTTTTTTTTTTTTTTTTTTTTTTGTGGGGTATTAAAACCCTTTTCAGTCTCTCGATGAAATTCTTGTATTTCTTTCTCTCTCCCTTTTGCTTTGTTTCCAATAATAAAAAAAAAGAAAAAAAGATAGTAAATAATAGTAATAAAATTAAGGAATAGATTTTTCTGGGTAGAGAAAGAAGGAAGCATCGAAGGGAAGACTTGAGAGTCGAGCCTAAGAAGCTGTTTTGGTACATTTTATATGTTAATTGGAGTTATTATTGGTGCTGACATGGCGCGTCTCTGAACTCTTGATGATAGAGATGACGTCATGATAAAATAAACTGGAGACGTCACTTCGGTATTTCAGTAACCTCCTCCTACTCCTCCTACTCCTCTGGCTCTCAAATCCGCTTCATCGTCTTCGTCATCTTCATCCTCTTCTTCCTCTTCTTCTTCTTCCTCATCGTATTCTTCATTTTTCAATCTGTAAAATATATGAATGAATGAATGGGTCAAATCGTAAAAAAAAAAAATGAATTTTTTGACATTAATCAAATTTATTTATTTATTTATTTTTTTATAATAATGATAATTTTCGATCGGAAAATTGGGCGAACATACTTGGAACTTACTCTTCTTTTGATGGATATTTATCCCTAAGCCTGCGTTTCGAACAACCTTTTTGGCACCCCGGACAATACCAATACGTTAAAATTGTTATTGCGACAATGAAACATGTGGTCGGTACGACAAGAGCCAATATGAGATGTCTGAAATGTTCAGAAGTTTATATATAAAATAATAATAATTTTTTTTTTGATTCGTACAATATTTTTAATTTGTTTAAAAGTCACCTTAGGTTGTCGTCCCAACTGTAGTGGGCAACCACTATTTCCGGATATGTTTTGCTATAGTAACAAGGAAATATCTTTCCCACGTTTTTGTTACCGTATTGCGAAGCAAATTCTGAGCAATTTATCTTTGGCGGATATCCGCAACCCTCGGTGTTAATAAAAAATTTCGTTTCGTTAACGTCCCAATTCATCGATGTTAAATCTTGATCTTTGAGAAAATCGTTGTAAGAATTTTTGCTGTAGCTCACCGTTATCTGAAAATAATTATTATGTTTAGAATAAAGGGTTTGGGGAGAGGGGAGGTGAGGGAAGTAGTTATTTACCTGGTGACATTTAAGAACAGCAGTAGTGCATCCTTCTCTGCAGGACGCCCAAGTGCAATTTCTCAACCCTTCGGAATAAACGTGTTCGATGACTTTACATATAACGGGTTCTTGTTCGTAATCAGCTATTATGGTCGATATGGCGGGATCGACGACGAATGGTATAAGAAATAAAAAAGCAAAAACTGAAATGATAGCGGTTGTACCCATACAAAGGGATACGTAAAACTTGGCTTTTTCCAAAAGAGTCTGAACGGGTATGACCGGAGTCTCGACTTTTCCTTCACAACCCACGACATTGGCAGCATCGCACTGGTCTTCGGCCTCCATCAAGCCATCTTTGGCCCCCATTTTTTTATTTATTATTTATATATATTTAAAAAAAAAAAATTTTTTTCTTTTCTTATTTTAAATTCTAATATTAAGAATTAATTTTAATTTTAATTTTTTTTTTTTTTTACTATCAACTAAATTTATTTATTTATTTATTTTTTTTGGTAATTAAAAGTGAAATTCTTTTAAATAAAGGGAAGACCCGTTTTTTTTTTTTTGTTTTGCTAGCACATTATCTCCGATAATTGAGCTTTTTCTTAAATTAAATTGAAATTTTTTTTTTTGCGGTTATATATATATATATATTAACTAACTATTCGAAATGAATTTTTTTTATTTTTATTTACATATACATAATTATTTTAATACCGTCGAATTTTTTCTGATTATTAAATATTACAAAAAAAAAAAAATAGAGAAAAGAAATAAAGAAAAAGGAAAAAAGAAAAGAAAAATTTAATTATTAATTTTTGTACGTATTTAAAATTTAGTCTTTAAAATCATAATTAAATTATTTTATTAACGCGTTTCCCCTCCGGTCAAATTTGTACGATAACACATCTTGTTCCTGTTGTTTTTTTTTTTTTTTTTTATTAGTAAATTGATAACCGTGTTGTTGATAATAAAAATTATTATTATTATTATTATTATATTTTTTTTGTTAAATTTTTTTATTGCAAACTTTTTAATTTTTTTTTGTCTTGAATTATTCTCAAAATTATATTTTTATTTGTCGTTTTTTTTGTTTTTTTTTTTTGGTTTTTAGGTTTTTTTTTTTTATTAAGTTGCCAAGCGTGCTGCTTTAGTTTTTTCGAAGCATGTATAGCGTATAATCTGGAAATTTTTCAATTGATGATTGTGCTAAATTATTTATTTGTTGCATTTTGTTGTTGCTTGTTATTATTGTTCTTCTAGTGAAAAGACGTGCTGGTTTTCTGAATTTTCGTGCAGGAGGGGAACGCCTGAAAAAAAAAAAAGAAAAAATTAATTACGATTAATTTACAAAAAAATCATTTTTTTTTTTAGTTTTTGTCCGACAGATCGAAATTATTTTCGTCGCGTTTGATTTACGTGTTACACGTTGATATAAATAGAAATGGAGAATTGTCTGTTTTCGTTTTTTCTTTTTTCCTATAGCAACGAAATCAAATTAGTAATTGATTATTTTGACCATAAAAATAAAAAATTCTTACGTGCTGGATCTCAAAGGGCCATGGCGGAACCGACTTCTCTTATGCTTCCAGAAGCGGTTTTTTCAATTCCGATAATTTGGGAATTGTTAGCACATTTAAAACGCATTTTAGCATCGTCACCGACAACAACGGTTCTTTGACATAATAAAAGAGTCAGACAGGAAACAACGAACAATACTGATGGTAAAACGGATGCGATTAAAAATTCTTTATACGTCGTAGCCAAATCGAACCTTGCAACAACCATATCCGGATTGTTTTCCGAGTAATAGCATGGAAATCGTGCGCGAGCATTGTGATCCGTTCCATCTTTTCCATATTCCCTTAAAAATTCTTTGCATTCGTCTCTCAGCGTATTAACACAACCGTCGAGATTTATTTTCAATCTAGATTCATTTGCTATTATGAGCTCGTGTTCGGGTGGAGCTATTAATTTTCTTTCGTCCAAAGGTACCGAACTCCAAACGCTTAAATAAGCTAAATAAGTAAAATTGGTGACGTCATGCAACGCAGTTTTCGGGAGGAGAGTTCCATTTATGCAATCTACCGCTTCCACACCGTTAGATGTGTTGGTAACTTTGTAACAAGACGCCATGAGAATGTTTCCGTTATTTTCATTCCAAATTTCTTGATCTGAGTCAATATCAATCGCCTTACGACATTGCGATAAATACGCTTGGTCGCCCGATAGCAAAATAATATTTTTATTTCTAGTAGGAATGTCCACGCATCTTCTGTCACAATTGTACGGGGTTCGAATACGTTCGCACGTACCACGGTCACAATATTGAAGGCCTTCTATAGTACTGCATGTTATTTTACCCCTTCTACCCGAACACTTTGAAGGGGGATCCGTCATTTTAAATTCACATTCGAAAGCATCCGTGATATTTATGCAAACCCCTGCGGAGCAATTAAACGTACCCGTCAAATTTTTACATTCATCGGCAATGCATCTATATTTTACAGCACTTTCTTGATCGATACCGTAACAAGTTTTATTTGCCGTATTGGTGCAGTTAGCGAAAAGCAAATCGGATCCGTTACGTCTTGAATGTACAATAATTTGTATACACGCACCAGAACTTTTACTCAGGCACCACTCTCCGCAAGATTCCCACTTGCACGTTTCGTTATTCACGGCTCTCAATGTCGTGCACATGACTGGAACTTCGCTTATACCTGATTGAAAGGCTTTCATTGACGGAACGTAAATAGCCACTGTCAAATACACTAAAGCAACGGTACTCAAAACTGCCGTCATTTGACAAATGCATATCGTACCACAAATTCTTTGATCCTGTGGTGGAATGAGAAGATCTTCCGGCGGAATTTTTTTTTTACCCATTTTTTTTTTTTTTTTTTATTAAAATAACTAAAACTATCGATCTGTTTCGTACATCACTTTATTCACTATTCGTTTTTAATTAAAATTTATTACTATTTTCAATAAATTTAAAAAATTTTAAATAATTTTCTTTTGAGAAGAAAAAGAAAAGGAGAAGAAGGGAAAAAAAAAAACACTGACTTGTCCCAAATCGACACTCATAGATTTTCCTCGAGCTAAGCGATCAGAGAGAGAGAGAGAGAAAAAAAACGCACTAGGGCTATGATTATGCGCAATAGGGAAAAATTATCAAATCGATACACAACCTTTATCTCTTTTTTAATCCGCCAAAATCAAATTTTTTTTAATTTTAAATGATGAAAAGGCTCTGTGTAACTTTGTTTATTATTTAATTAATTATTTGATGATTTTCCTTTTTCGAGATTTCTTTTTCTAATTTGATTTTTCTTTTTTTTTGTAACGGTTTAATTTGAATGTGTGATATGATGGATGATTTTGAGATTCGTGATAATTTCGTTATTGAAAAAGAAAAACTGGGTTGGCAGATTGCGGGTTTATTTAAAAAAAAAAAATAATAATAATAATATTTGCCTAAAATGTAAAAAAAAATTTTTTAATGAGTACTCAAACTTTTCATTCATTGATTTAACATTCATTTCATTTCATTTTTTTACGACTTTCGAAAGATCAGGGATTTAAAAAAAAAAAATTATTATGTTGTAAATTAATTTTGCAAACATTTTATTATCAATACATACCTGGAGAGAGAGAGAGAGAGAGAAAAAAAATTATCCTATTTTCCTCTTGAAATATATTTAAATTTAACACGTTTACGTCATATAAATATTATCATTATTATTTTTTTTCCCCGATTGAAATTAAAACAAATTAAAAAAAAAAAAAAAAAAAACTAAATGTATATAATTTTGTAATTTTTCTATTTTTTTTTTTATTTGTTAATTTAGGTCAAATTATTATAATTTTTTTTTTTGTTTTTGTTTTTATTTCGACATGCGAAAATGCATCGTAAAAATTATATTTCAAGTCATGAAAAAAGGGTCCAAAGTCAAAAAGGTTGCCGGGAAAACGTTTATAAAAGGAAATAAAAAAAAAAAAAAAAGTTAAAGAGCTCTGATGTGAAAAAAATTTTTTTTTTTATAACTGTATTGCATGAGTTTAAGACTTTTCCAACCGCGAAAAAAAATTCTCTCGTCTTTTCTCTTCTTCCCCTTACCTCTCCACTCCCCTCTGTCACTCTTTCTCAAGTGATAAAAATGATAATAATGTACTAATAATTTTTTTTTTTAAATAGAAATTTACAAATAATAATAATAATAAGGTTTTAAAATATTTATTGCCGATTTAAAATTTGTCTTCTTTCACTTTATTCCTCGTGGATTTATTTATTTATTTCGAAAAAAAAAAAACGTTATTCAAAACTTTACTTAAAATTTAAATTTCGAAACGTTTTTGTTTAGAATCGTCACAAATTAATAAATAAAATAAATAAATAAATAAATAGAAAAAAAAAAACATAACAATTCACTCATCACATGGTTTAGTCTTGTTTACAAATTTTTATATAAACGCCTCGATCGTATAATTATTATTATTATTTTAAATTATTGTTTTTTAACGATAGGCATTAAATAAATAAATAAATTTCTTATTTCGAGGTTAACGACCTTAAATAAATTTATTATAAATAATCGGATTTAAAAATAATAATAATTAACACTTACCCGAAAATTTGGCAAATATACATCCACATCGGGAATAATTTTCACGGGGGGTTTTCGTTTTGAATATGATTAAATTCAAAATGGCGGAGACTGGCACTGCTTTGCGACGTCCTCTGCTGCTGGATTTTCAACCTTTAATCGATCGATATATATAGTCCCGAGAAAAAGGAAAAAGGAAAATTTTTTTAAAAATATATAAACGCGAAAAAGGTTTTTTTTCCATTATTATTATTATTTATATAAAAATAATTTTTTTTTCTAGTGAAAATCGATTGATTTTAGTGTTTAGTAGTTTCGGAATGTTTGTTGGTTGTCTGTTTGGTGTTCAGATAAAAATATATCATTAAAAAATTGATAATAATAATAATAATAATAATAATGAAAACAATTCATGCCCGATACGGGAAAAAAAAAAAAAAAAAAAAATTTTTTTTTTCCCATTATTATTATTATTATTATTATTATTATTATTATTATTATTATTATTATTATCAATTTATTAATGATTTTTTTTTTCAATTTAAATTCACATTGTATATGTGTTTGTAATGAAAAATTTTCCGAAGGTTTTTCCTTTTGATTAGAAAAGAAAAGGAAAAGAGCGCAAGCTTAATGAATTTTTTTTTTGTTTAGCTAAAAGTCCAGGTGAACGGTAGTAGTAGCAGCAGCAGCAGCAGCAGTCGTCGTCTGCTTTGACAGTGTTTGTTGGTTCAGCACGAGGTTTCGATGTAATTTAACACAAAAAAATTATTATTATTATTATATATTTTTATTAGTTATCAGTTTGTTTAAAAATGTATCTATTTTATTATTATGATTATTAGTAAAAGTACAAGATCGAGGGGATTGGAAATAAATTTTTATGTTGACGTTTGTTTTTTTGTTTTTTTGTTCGGTTTTAATTGTGTTTTGAAAATTTTATAATAATTCTTAAAAGTGACGAAAAGGAAAAGAATAGAAAGGGAAGAAGGGGAAGGGATTTGTTTAACGTGTTCCCGTAGGAAAATTTTCCAAAAAAAAAAAAAAAAATTGAAATTTTATTTCTTGAGTAAATAACAAGGATGTGTGAAAAGTGTTTGGTTGTTTGTATGTGGCGGTTGTTAAAAAAAATTTTGCTTCGAGGGTTTTTTTTTTTTTTTTTTTTTTAAGGGGAGAAAAAGATTAGGGGAGGATGTAAAGTTGGTATTTATTTACAATTATTTTATATTTTCGTTCATTTTAATTTTTTTTTTTTTGGGGGGGGCATGATGTAATTGTGATAACATAAAGATAAAGGTTTAGTCATGTGATTTGTCGATTGATTTGTTTTATTAAACAAACAAAAACAAAATGTTGTATCAGATTGTTAATTCTTCGACATTGACAAGTATTATTATTTTCCCACGTAATAATAATAATAATAGAGTCGTAATAAATAATTTTCAAAACGTGTTTGCCGCGTAAATAGTGAGAGAGAGAGAGAAAAATGTCATACACGCACAAAAATATTTTAATTATAATTTAATTATTATTAATTAGTTTTTCTTTTTTTTTGCCCCCCCCCCTCCCCGTAAAAGTTTAGGTTGGGTGTGGTTTCGATTTTTTTTTTTTTAGTCGTTTTTAATCACTTGTTTAAACATGTTTTCCAAAAAAATTTTGTTTTTTCTTCATTAATTTTTAAACATGGTAAAGAAAAGAAAAGTCAAAATTAAATTCAAATTTTTTCTCGAAGTTTTTTTTGTTTTTTTACTTTTCTACAAAGTCTAGTAATAATAATAATAATAATAGGGCTTTTATTCTTTATAATTGTGTGCGTTTTTCAATTTTAAGGGAAATAATGGCATTAAGTAAGGGTTCGAAAAAAAAAGAGGGGGGAAGGTTTTTCGTAACGAAAAATTTTCATAAATCATGAGGGTAAAAAAAAAAATTAATAATTATTTATTTATTTATTCAAATCGTTTTATTATTATTATTATCATCATCATTATTATTATTATTATTTCATTTTTAATCATATAATTTTACAATCAGATTTTTTGAAAATCAGGTTTCGTGATAAAAAAAAAACGACGAAAGGGTTGTAATTTTATTAAAATTTCCATTTTTTTTTTCTTTTTCGAAAGTTCAATGTGCGTGCGTGCGTGTGTACGTGCGTGTGTACGTGCGTGTGCTCGAATTCATGTGCGTGATGTGTGTGTGTGTGTGTGCTTGGAAAATTATTTTTAAAAACATTAATAATCCTTTTTAAAATATTTTTGCAATTTTTTTTTTCTTTTTTTTCTTTGTATTACATTTTAATCGATAATGAAAGAAAATTTATCGATGAAGGGGAAAAAAATTATTGTAACCGTGGAGTCGTGGAAGAAAAGAAAAGAAAAGAAAAAAGAAAGAAAAAAAAGAAAAAAAAGAAAGAAAGAAAGAAAAAAGAAAAAAAAGAAAGAAAGAAAAAAGAAAAACGTTTTTGATCCTTGAACAATAAATTTTTTTGTTTACTTTTTATACGTACATGGCGCCGGATTTTGCGCTCTTATACTGCTTGGTTTAGCATAAATAATTTTTTTCCCCCTTCCCCCCGTACCCTTCCTTTCCTTACTCGTTTATTTATATTTATGTATTTTTATTTTTTTGCTGTCGTACACATTTAGCTTATATTTTTTTAGGTAAATGTATGGTGTTGTTATGTGATAATAACAATAATAATTTATTTTGAAAAAAATAAAATAGATATTTTTTTGTCAAACATATTGACTCGAAGTGAAAGAAAATGAGTGAAAAATTAATAGATAAAAATGAAAAATAAAAAAATGAAGAAAATAAGAACGAAAAAGATAAAAATTTTACGGTTGTGATGTGACATAACAAAATGGCCGATGAAGTAACGAAAAAATTAGAAGAAACATGCCGGCAAAAACTACTTTTTTACATAACCGCCTTTTTTATCCTTCTCGGAATATTCAGCTTGTTTGCTTTTTTATTTCTCGTACCATTCGTCATTGATCCTGCCTTCACGACAATCTTCATGCAATTCGAAGAAAAACCAGCCGTGTGCGTGACGGTTTCGACGGTGACAAATAGAGGAGCTTCCAATTGCACGTGGAGTTCTTGCAAGGAAGGTTGCACAAAAGAACTTTACGAATGTACCCAAATATTAGTCAATTATAAATTCGACGAGGAAGCAGAAGAAGAAGAAGAGGTCATCATCGATTCTTCGGATTCCGACGTTAAAAACGATGATGAATTACAAAGTAGTAGTAGGAGAATAAGAAAAAGATCTACTTTTCATTACACTCTCTTCAAAATGGCGGAAACTTACGAATCGTTTTTCAATCGAGATAGATATAATCAAAGGGAAACGAGAGCGATACGAGATGATTACGATTATTTTACAAATGAAATAGATGATGTGGATGAAGGTTTACAGGGAAATAATTCTGATTGGTATTACGTGAGAGCGAAATTATTTCCAAACGTGAAAGGCTGTGGTTATCCTCCGATATTAAATTGTAGCATATTTTTAAAAACTTATAAAACAATAGGAACAAATTTTTCGTGTTATTTTTCGAGAATCGATCCTAGTTTGGTCATAAACGAATTCGATCTCGATCAAGTTTATTTGAATTTGATATACGCTATGGCAATACCCATACCTTCATTTATAATATCCGTCGTTTATTTGACCATTGCTTATTTTGTCATTTACGCCGAAGAACCACCTCCTAAACCTCGCATTATTAGTCCTTCTATGTTGACTCCCGTACCGCCTCCGACGAGTGGAGCTTTGACGCCTGCAAGTGAGGTCTTCCGCGAAGATCTGGCCAGTTTCGGTCACGATTTTAAAGTTGCCATGGCGGATGAGGCTAGTAGAGAAAGTGTTGCTACTTGCATCGATGCCGTCCCTAATTCTAATTCCAATTCGAACGGGTAAGGCCGAGAGTTTTTCTTTTGTGGTGGAACTCATTGCCGCAACGTCTTTTTGTTATTAATTTTATTGTTTTGCTCCTTTGGTGGTTAAGATCTCAAGTATTATTTTTTAAAAAAATGATAAAAAATTTTTTTTCTTATTTGAATTTTAGAAACTTGATGAAAATAATGACAACGAGTATCTCAACTCCTCCTGGGCCGATAGCCGCGGTTTGAAAAATTCATTACACGGTCTTTCGGATGTTTCGTGGCGTCCAAAATAAATCAATCAATAGGTAAGAAAATAAATATCGAACGATTAAAAACGTTTGTTTGTTAACAAAACGTTCCTACAACCAGCCAACAACAACAAAAAGATTAATTTTTTTTTTTTTTTTTTGGGTGATGGATGTTGGGAATTTTCCTGATGTCGTGCGACACGTTCGAAATCTTTTTTTTTTATGTACTGCTCGATACAATCGCGAATTTGGAAAATTTTATTAAGAAAGAGAGAGAGAGCGAATTTGAGGAACCATCATCGTGCAGGGGGCTTTGGTATTATTATTATTATTTACCCGAAATCAAAAAGGGATTAAAAAGTATTGTTTTTACAAAACCTTCTTTTGTTGTTATTTAATAAAAGAAGATAGATAGATAGATAGAGAGAGAGAGAGAGAGAGAGAAAATAATTGTATGAAAATTGTTTATTTTAAATAATTATACAAAGTTGAAAAGTTTTTTTTTTTTTTTTACTTTCTAGAAATATTTTAAAACAGTTAAGAAAAGTTCAAAAAAAAAAAAATGTTTGTACAAACATAAATATGAATATTATTTTAATGGCGTAACAAACGTTTTATGTTGATAATAAAAAGATAAAATTTAAGAGGGAAAATTGATTTTGAAATCTTACATTTACTTAATAGGTTTCCGTCGTCCATTTTTTTTTTTTTTTTTTAAATAACGTCTCTTAGGATTTTTATGAGAAAAAGTCGAAAACGTAATTTTTACTTTTTACGTTATTAATAAACTTACAAATATATATATTGTAACGAACGTTTTTGTGTGTTTGCCGGTGGTGCCGCCATTTTTATTTTTTTCTTAACCTTTTTCTTAAGGTAACCTTTCAAAGTTGATTTTTTTTTTTTTTTCATTTCGGAGTACTTAACAATCTTAATTTTCTTTGTGTGTAAGAAAGTATTAGTCTAAGGTAAACATCGGGGGCGGAGTGTGAGGGGGGGGGAACCGAAGCGTCAAAATGGCGGCGGAACTTTTTTGCAAAAAAACTTTCACGTTTTCTTTTCCTTCTTTTCCTCCTTTTTTTTCCTCTCAATAGTTTTTTTTTTTTATATAAATTTTATTTGCATGGAAAACGAACAAACAAACGCAAAAAAAAAAAAACGGTGCACGAAAGTTAAAAGAAATAAAAAAAAAAAAAAGGAAAAAAAATTTAAATAGGAAAGGTTTGGTTTTCACTTGCAAATGTATTTTTTTTTTTTAATCATTAATATTATTATTATTATTATTATTATTATTATTATTATTATTATTTTTGTTTTTTTTTTCACAATCCGACCTTTTTTATATTCGAAGGTCGAAAAGGTTCAAAGTAAAAATTCATCAAATATTTACTTGGGTCATTCTCTCTCTCTTTCTCTTTCTCTCTCTCTCTCTCCTTTCGATTGTGAATCGATGTCGGATTTTACAACAAAATGGTCGTTGTAAATAAATTATTTATTATGCGAAAACTTTATTTTTTATAAATAAATATCGAAAAGAATTTTTCGCATCAATCTTATATCGTCCGAACTTTCCAGAACTTCCAGAACGGATGAGAAGTCGATTCCGCCATTTTTATTTTTTTTTCTACGTAATTTTCATAAATTTGACTTAATCGATTTGAGATTTTTAATGATTTTTTTTTTCTTCCCACCATCATTAATTTTATCTTTCTTTCTCTTTCTGAATTCAATGCAAAAAAATTCGATTTAAAAAATATTGAAAAAGGGGAGAAAAAGGGAAGAAAAAAGGGAAGAAAGAATTTTAAGAGAAATTTTCTTTTTTTTTTTTTTATAATTAATCATGGCGGATTTATTACGTAATCGTATGAATTATACTAAATGTATATATTTTTACGGTTGGAAAAGAAGAAGACGATTCAAATTTAATTTATTGAAGTGGGAGGGGAGAGGAGGAAAGGGGGGAATGATGATGATGATAAATTGTTCGAATCGTTTATTTCGTCGATATGGAAAATTTTTTTTTTAATAATTTCTGCCATTTTAATTTTTTCCTTTTTTTATTTTTCAGAATAATGAAAATTCGAAGAAAAAGAAAAATCACAGACGACGACGACGACGACGAGGATGATGATGATGACGAAGATGACGATGACGGGATTTACAAAATGCAAAATATTTTTTTAGGAAAAAATTTCAAATTCTAAAAATTTTCCTTCGTGTCGCAATGTCCAATCAATAATAATAATAATTCTAATTTAAAAAATACTGCGTTATATTTAAAAATAATAATAATAATAATTTTAAAAGAAATCGCATTCAAAGGGTGCTATAATTAGCTTTTTTTAAACACTATTTTACGCGGTTTATGCCTTGCTTATTTTAATAATAATAATAATAATTTAAAAAAAAAAAAGGTAAAAATGTACATTAAATATTTGCTCAAAACACTTCATTAAAAAAAATTTTTTAATTCACATTCAAATGATTTCCTCCTCCTCCTCCTTCTCGTTCATTTCATTTATTTAATTTTTTATTTGAGATCGTTCGAGTTAAGATGGCGGATTATGTTAATATGGCGGGTTATTAAAAAAAAAAAAAATAATAAAACTGTTATTGTTTGTATATCATTCAAATAGAATACTGTGCCCTCCAGAATAATGCAGGGATTTTAATTAAAGAAAAATTTTTATTTATTTATTTATTCATCAACCGGAAGTAGTAGAAAAATTATTTTTATTTATTATTATTATCATTATTTTATTGTTTAAATTTTACACACACACACACAATCACACAAATGAAATAGTTATAAATAAATAAATAAAAGTGGCTTTGCTGTTAATAATAATAATAAATTTTTTTTTCTAAAAATAATCATCCGAAATTATTTTATTTATGTACATAGAAATTATAAATAAAATTCAGGTTATTAAATAAATAAATGCTTAACTTTCAACGAATTGTTTATTAATTAAACAAAATGGCTTTTATTGCAAAAAAAAAAAAAATTTCATATAAATATATTAAATAAATAATAATGAATTATATATAGTAAATAAATTTTTATTTTTTTTAAATTAAACTATTAAATAAATAAATAAATAAATTATTATTATTATTAATCGTCACTTGTTTGATTTTTTTTATATTTTATTTCATTTTTTTTTGAAAATTTTTTTATTTTTTTGTTGTTTGATTAATTAATTAATTAATTAAATAAATTGTTGTTGTTTTTTTTTCATACGTACGTACAAATAAATTTTAATTTATTTTGAAAAGTTTAAAAAAAAAAGTTTTTTCAATGAGAAAATTTCTAAAAAATTTATTTTTACGATAATTTTAAAATACTATCAAATCAAATTATTACTTTTATTTTCCTTTGTGACAGTTGTTATATATAGAAAATTTAAATTATCCAACCATTTTCCTTTTTTCTTCAAATACGTGATTTGCTTAAAAACTTTTCTTTTATTTTGATTTATTACTTTTGATATTATTTATGGATGACACGACGTGTGTGTTTTACACTTTTCTTCTTTAGAAAATTTTCCTTTTTTTCTTCCATTTTCTCAAATGATTTTCGGTTTTTTTTTATTTAAGTTTTTTCTTCTCGGTTTTTTTTTTAAATGAACACTTAAGCAGACGCCATTAAAATCTGAAAAAAAATTTTTAAAAAAACTTTTTTTTATATTAAAAATAATTAACATCGTTTAATAATACCTTATACCACCATTTTATTACGTAAAGAAAATTTACGGAAAATTTACCATTTAGTTCAATAAAATTTATAAAGATGTCTCTGTAATCAGTAACGTGTCGTAAGTACGTATAACAGTTTGTTTTTTTTTTTCTCTCTATAAAAAGAAATTTTTATTTTAATAATTACATAAAATTACATATTTTAATAGTAATAATAATAATATTCGCAATTTGAAAAAGTTTTTTTTTTTTATCACGTTTTATAAAAAAAATTTATTATTCACGATATTCAAAAAAAAACATTTATTAATTTTCGTTGAATTTTTTTTTTATAAAATGATTTTTATATTTAAAAAAATATATATATATATATATATATATATATATATATATATATATATATATATATATATATATATATATATATATATATTTTTTTTTTTTTTTGTAGTTGACCTTTTCCTAGTTTATGTTGACCTAATACATATAATGACTTACGTCAGGGTTTACCCCATCACTAATGTTTTACCGCATAACAAAAAAAAAAAAATCTTTTTTTAAAAAATATTTTTTAATCTTTTTATTTATTATTATTATTATTATTATTTTAACGGTATACATTTTCGAAAGAATTTTTTTTTTTAAAATAAATTCAAATTATTAATTTGTTGTTTGTTTGTTTGTTAAGGTAAATCAAAATTGATTCAAAATAAAAAAAAAAAAATGTCGGATCGAATTAGTTTTGCTTTTTTTTATCGATTCGTTTCGTTCGCTTCTTAACGATAATAAAATTTTATTAAAAACAATAAAAAAAAAAAAAAATTAATTAACGCCCTTACAAAAAAAAAAAAAAAACTATATAAAATCAATTAAAAAATTTTCGAATTTAATAGAAAACAAACAAACAAACAAATAAACAAAACAAACGAAACAGAATAAAAAAAAAATTAATTTTGATTGAAATCCCACCAATTTTTCAATCTCTGTAAATTTCTTTTCCCCTCCCCTTCCCTTCCCTCTTCCTCCGATCCCTTCTCCCCCCTCCCCTCGAAAAAACAAAACTCACCAAAATTATATTTAATAATAAATGTATTTATTATTATTATTATTATTATTATTACCGTTTGTTGTTGTTGTTATTTAGATTTTCTGGAAAAAACTTCACTTCTATTTTTATTTTTATTTTTTCACATACTTTCGATCGGTTACTTGTTATTATTATTATTATTATTACTACTACTACTACTACTACTATTATTATTATTATTATTATTATTATTATTATTATTATTATTATTA